GAGGCCATTCTTAACAGACTGGCCGATGGCAACATCCTGAGCGATAGCCAGCACAGGTAGGTCCTGCTTGACCAATCTTATTTCTTTTTACGACACGGTGACCTATCACCTGGACAAGGGAGAAGAGATTGATGTCATATATCTTGACTTTAAAAAAAGCCTTCGATCTCTTATCCCGTGATCACCTCTTAGCAAAACTGGCTAACTGTGGCCTTGGCCTCACCATGATCTGCTGGATGGGGAATTGGCTCCGTGGTCGGACCCAGAGGGTGGTGGTTGATGGAAGTCAGTTGTTGTGGTGCGCTTGACCAGTGGGGTCCCTCAAGACTCTGTCCTTGGACCTACACTATTCAACATCTTCATTAATGATGTGGACATTGGTATCAGAAGCAGACTGGACAAGTTTGCCAAGGACACCAAACTCTGGGGTAAAGCATCCACATCTGAGAACAGGAAGGTGATCCAGGCTGACCTTGGCAGACTCAGGAAATGGATGGATGAGAACCTGATGGTGTTTAACACTGAAAAATGCAAGGTTCTCCACCTTGGGAAGAAAAACCTGCGGCATGCTTATAGGCTTAGCAGTGCTATGGTGGCTAGACTACAGGTGAAAGGGGCTTGGGGGTCGTGATTGACCACAAAATGAACATGAGCCATCAATGTGATGCTGCAGCTAGTAAAGTGAGCAAAACGCTGGCTTGCATCCATAGATGCTTCTCAAGCAAATCCCAGGACGTCATTCTCCCACTGTACTCAGCCTCAGTGAGGCTGCAGCTGGAGTACTGCGTCCAGTTTGGGGCTCCACAATTCAAAAAGGATGTGGAGAAGCTTGAGAGAGTGCAGAGGAGAGCCATGCGCATGATCAAGGATCAGGAAAACAGAACTTCTGAAGAGATGCTGAGAGCCATGGGGCTCTTCAGCCTGGAAAAGTGCAGGCTCAGGGGTGATCTGGTGGCCACCAGTAAGTTTATCAGGAGTGCTCACCAGGATCTGGGGGAACGTCTGTTCACCAGAGCACCCAAGGGATGACCAGGTTGAATGGTCACAAACTCCTCCATGACCTTTTCAGGCTGGACATAAGGAAGGACTTCTTTACTGTCCAAACCCCCAAGGTTTGGAATAGACTGCTGCCAGAGGTGGTTCAAGCACCTACTTTGAACATCTTCAAGAGACATTTGGATGTTTATCTTGCTGGGATCCTGTGACCCCAGCTGACTTCCTGCCCCTGGGGCAGGAGGCTGGACTTGATGATCTTCCAAGGTCTCTTCCATCCCTAATGTCTATGAAATCTATGAATCTCTGTCCCTAGCCCATTAGTTTAGCAGGTGTATGGGATTTTTCCCTGAAGAAAGTTCCTCATTTCCAAGTACACTAACTTGCTCAGTCTGATTGACTGCATTCTGAAAAAGTATAGGGTGATCAACCAAAAAACAGCTAAAATATCTGGTTGTATAAGCTATCATAAGAATTCACCAAACATTAGATTGCTTTATTTTTTAATAAAGTTTAAAAATAAATTATTCTTTTTCACTTGTACTGTGCTGATGCCTAGCATGACATCATGGGATTAAAATATTACATTACAAAAAATGAATTAAAACAGACACTAATATTGAATTAAATGTGGCATCATTATTGCATGTAATATGATTTCTCTCACCCCAATAATTTAAAAATTAATTATTTAGGGATAGGTCCTCTTTGGGCCTTGTGAACATTATAGTTCCAGAAGGGACGATTTCTTATCTCCTTCCTTTACCATCACACAATGCCACTTGCCATTGTCCTGTTTTCTTTTCACCTTGGTTTATGTTTTCCACTGGCAAGGCTGTTTTATTTCTACAACTTACCTCTAATATGTCCAAGGGGCTAGGCTTTTTTGTGGTATATTTATTAAATCACCTGTCTAGTTGGGAGAGCCTTCAGCCAAGCTTTTGGGCATCTGATGCCCTTCCTCAAGTCTGAGGACATATTCTGAGCCATCACAGCTACAACAACACTCCAATCATACTAAGAAACTTCAAAACTGTATCCAGTACATTTGGCTACATCAATCACTACCACTAATATCTTCAAACTAAAGTTATGCTACAATGTATTTGGATTATTTCTTTCAAGCCCTTCTTTTATAATGTCTTTTTTCAGGCCTTTTGCTGGATATGTAAGCTGCTTTTGTTTCTTTGCTGACAAGGCTAGCTGGTGCATCTACAAAGGTTTAGTCTGTGGTCACTCAGAAACAGATTTTTAGACCTCCTGCTTTAGCCACGTTTCTGTAGCCTGGCATAGGTGCCTTGAAAATGGCCATGGCTGGCAATAAATGATCATACATTTCCATCTCAGTATTTTCAATTAACAAAGATACATTATTATTATTTCAATAGGATTCTATCTGACTACATATAGTTTGAGTCTTCTCATGAAAAGGTAAAACGCCAGTTGTTACTTTTAACTGTTATTAAGCCCTTTCCAAGAAACAATTATTCACACACAGCCTAGCCCCAGGAGCATCAAACACCTGGACAACCCACCTCCACAGGTGAAATCCAGTCCACAGGGCCTGTTGCCACAGCTCCAGAAACCAGGGAGTTAATGCTGTCACCACTTGCTCCTATTCCCCATTCCCTGCTGCTGAATTTGGAGGTTTTAATTGCCACAGGTAACTAAATTTGAGAGCAGGGGAAAAGGGAGGGGTGAGTGGTAGTCATATTAACTCCCTGAGCTCCAGAGCTGTGCTGATACAATGATTGTAGCAGCAACAAGGATTAATGAAACCTCTACCACTTGCAAATCATCTGGCCCATGAGAAGTCCTATAGTCCCGATCCAGCCTACTCCGCAAATGAGTCCAACACACATGGCTTAACCTAGTATTAGTGGCCATGATTAACAGATTCTTATTCTACTTTTCCAGACTACTACTTATGGATTAAATGCAAGTTTAAACATGTACTATAATATTTACTATTCTATTTATGTTTATAACCCCCTCTGTGAGAGGGTCAGGGTCCAGTCAACTATCTTTGCCACTTGAACTGAGGGGGAAGGACCTAGCCAGCCTGTATCCTTACAGAGCTAACAGGCCTCTCTGGACAGATGAGCCTTGAGGTGATACTCAGGGGTGCCCTTTGCCAGAGAGTGAGATGGAAATGGAGAATAATGTTATGTTTTATGGAATGTTGTGTTTGTTGGGGGAAAAGGGGGGCATTTATGCATTCTGGGGGGACAATCACAGACCCCATGTAGGAAACACGATTCATAGATGCTAGCGTCAGAAGGGACCTCAACAGATCATCAAATCTAACCCCCTGCCTGGGCAGGAGAGAGTGCTGGGGTCAGATGACCCCAGCCAGATGCCTATCCAGCCTTCTCTTAGAGACCCCCAAGGTAGGGGAGAGCACCACCTCCTTTGGAAGCCCATCCCAAATTTTGGCCACCCTCACCCACACATAATGAAGTTTTTCCTGATATCTAGCCTAAATCTGCTCTCTGTCAGTTTGTAACCATTGTTCCTCATTACTCCACAAGGCTCCCTGGTGAAGAGGGCATCTCCAATCCCTTGCTGCATCCCCCTAATTAATTTTTAGGCAGCCACAAGATCACCTCTCATCCTTCTCTTGTGGAGGCTGAAGAAGTCCAGGTCCCTCAGTCTCTCCTTATAGGGCTTGTCCTGTAAGTCCCAAACCATACAAGTGGCCCTCCTCTGGACCCTTGACTCTATCAATATCCTTCTTGAAGTACGGCATCCAAAAGTGGACGCAGTACTCCAACTGCCGTCTGACCAATGCCGCATAGAGGGGAAAGTATCACCTCCTCGGTTCTATTTGTCATGCATCTGCTGATGCATGATATAGTGCCATTAGTTTTGCTGATGATTTAGTCACGCTGATCACTCATGTTCATCTTGGAGTCCACTAGGACTCTGAGATCTCTTTTTGCTTCTGTACTGCTGAGAAGGTCATTTCCTAGCTACTAGGTGCGCTGGATATTTTTATGCCCTAGGTGCAGCAATCTGCATTTGTCCTTGTTGTGCTGCAAGGAATACAAAGGGTTGGGCTTGACAGAGACATCTGGGAGGGTGTAACAGGGCCTTAGTTTCCCCACTTTGATGTGCAGCTTCCAGCAATCCACTGAGGGCTACTTAAGTGCTTTGGGCCATCCCAGCCATCTTCTCCTGCACTCTCACCTAGCACTCCTTTTTTGATGTTATTAGGAGCATTCAGAGGCTGTCTCGTAAGAACCTGGGTGGGGTCTTAAATGCTATGCTTCTCTCTACCCATATCACTAGGGCTCTCCCCCCCAAGCAAGACTCACTCTCTGTAGTAGTCTCTTGGGCACTAAGTCAAGATACAGAGTGCCTTCCCAGACCCCACAATGTTTCCTCCTGCCTTCCCTTTAGCCACTCATGGCTATATCTCAGCATGACTTTTACCAGCCAATACAAAGCAAACAAACTGTATTCAAACACAATCCCAAAGCTCTTTTGGGTCTCCAGGTACCAACCAACACCTACCCTATATCTGCTGACTCTCTCCTGGGTATTAGCATTGCAAAAATTGCCTGTTATAGCAGCTCAAACCTCTAGGAGCTTTTCCCTATTCAGCATTCAGGGCCAGACTAAGCTCTGCATTTCAGGGGCCCAATTTTCTGTAGGCTGGGTTCCATCTCTTCTGATGACATGACCCTTAACTGACCCAGGGGTTCTATTTAGTCCATTACTCAGTTTGCTCTAATCTGCTAGTCAGCTCAGCTGTCCTTCACTTACTCTTTACCTTCCTGCCTGCTTAAAGCACTGCCACTGTAGCTTATTGCAGGGGTGTCTTTTCTCATATAGTTGCCTGTAGCTCCTCTTTTTTATTTGCCTTTGGACTGCTTACTTCTCTGCAGCTGGCCCTTGCTCAGCAGCCTGCTAGACCTTTCCCCTCAACCCCTGTTACAGAGAGAGAGGGAGGGATCTCTTCTAGGTGTGAGGTAGGGCTGAGAAGAGGTTTTGTATACCTCAGTGTGAATGGGACCCGGGAAGAGCAGTTGAGATGATTTCCTGTCCTGTGTAATAGACTGGAGTGTTTGCTCTCCTGAAGAATACCCAAGGAAGTGGGATGGGGTAAAGTTTGCAAGTTTTGGGGTGTCATTTGGGGAGTTTTGTCATTTCTTATCTGAGAATTTGTTTTTAATTTATTAAAAGGCATTCTGAACCTTTCTAGGTGTAAGGGGGACATTCATCTAGATAATAACAACAATAATTATGATAATACCAATGATAACAATAATGCTAGGTTCACAGTTTGCACTTGTCATCATGGTGGTTTCAGTTACTGACCACATCTGCAACCTAGAAAGATGATGGTCTAATCATCTCAGAACCCAGTAATAATATATAACCAATATTTAATTATAATCAGAGTGCTAATTGTGGAAACAAAAATGTTGCTTTGTAAATAATTATTTAATGTCCTCCAGGCTGTGGGGATTTGGAGTGATTTTTTTTTTGTTTGTTTGTTTGTTTGTTTTTTGTTCAACAATTAGACTTTGCTTGTTCCGTTTTGATGTTTTACTGAGTTAATGAGATAATACTTAATTTCAAGGAATCAGGGAGAAGTTCATGGACCCAGGAATGGCAAAGGAGGAATTCTGAGTTCTATGTCAATAGTCATGCAAACCAGTTTTTTTGTAAAACTAATCTTTTTCTAATAGATGGGTGTTTTTTTGTCATTTTTTACAACAGAAATAAGGTAAATGCCGGAGAAGGAGAAAAGGTTCTCCCCTTCATGCCTGAAAAACTAGTCATTCTATTCTATATTCACTTCCTTTACAAAACAAGGAGTAGAAATGTCCAATTTGTCCTCTACATGTAGTATCTTCAGAACACAGGGAAGCACACAAATATTTTGTTAGCATTTCTCAGCCTAGATCCTGATATTCTTCATAAAATATTTTGCATCTTGTCAGGATGCACAATGCCTTGTTTGCTGTAAAAGATAATCTCACCTGGGAATCAGAGAGAAGATATACCAAGGGAATAAGAGATGACAGAAGAGCAAAATCGCTTCTCTTGCTTGTATAATACTGCTGTCCCTGACTAAATCACCTCTTAACCTTCTCTTCCATGAGCTAAATAGATCTGAGATCTTTTAATGTCTCGTTGGAAAAGATGTTTTCCACATCGCAGACCATTCTTGGAGCTCCTGTTTGGACTCTATCTTCTCCAATATCCTTATTAAATGATGGACACCAGAGGTGTCCATCATTACAGTATTCCAGTAATGGTCTTACAAATGCTGTATGTAAGAGCACTATCAGAAGTATCATTCACCCCCTTCCTTCCCAAATAAATACACACCAACTGATTTTTCAATGATGTACTGTGTTTTTGTGCAGTAAACAAAGCAGAATTTGTAGAATGGAATCCAAAGCCCAGCTGAGGAAGTCTGTGATAACAGACAAGTTTGTAGCCTAGTACTTAATGATGTCTACCTTAGGTGCATATTTGGCTGCCATAACTGCAGAATCTGAGTGCTGTGCCATCTTTGGATGTATGTCCTTATATTAGCCTTATGAGGCAAGCCAGAACTCTTTAGTCCCCCTATAGGTAAAGACCTGAGGTACAGAAAAAAAACGAAGTTCTTGACCAAGTTCACTCAGGTTGTTCATGGTATAACTGGAACTGACATCATCATCATTACTGGAAGAGGTATAAGAATACACTCCAATACTGTCTCATCACAAGTGCACCAGCTCTTTCAAGTATCTGCTGTAAAAGCCAGTTTTTCACTCTCAAAAGTATGTGAAGCAGCTCACTCCAATTCCTGCTCAGTCCTAGAAGTTGCTGAGTGTTCTCAGTTGCTCCTGATTTCACTGATGTTGAGGGAACCTGGGGATTGTTCCTGCTCTGTTGAAATGACTGAAATTACTTTGCCACTACCTTCAGCAAGTGTGCGATCATACACCCAGCACCTAGTGGAAATCACTCTGCACACTTGAGGAATGAAGCTCTCAACACAGTAAACTTAAGCAGAATATGGTTAATTCCAAAGCAAGATACATATTGTCTAATGGAGACAATCAAGGATAGAGTTTTTAGCCCTCATTAAGCAAATCTATCAGGGAGTTCAGTTAGACCTGTAGAATTGATACCTGACTATGCAAGTGTTTGGGTTATTGGCAATTATAGATTCTATACATGTTCTTAGGATACATACATTGTAAAATCATCTCACATGGCTCTCTGTGTAAAACAGGCCATGGAATCTCACCAGAAATGTCTGCATGAAATCTGTAACTCCTGTGTAAACTATGCTGCACCTTTTAGAAAGTTGTCCAGATTTGATTTATAGACTTAAACTGATAGAGAACCTGCCCTATCACTAAATGAGATATGACAATGATTAATTACCTTGACTGTTAAAAATGTGTGCCTTTGCTTCTAGTCTGAAATTCTCTAGCTTCACCTTCTAACCCTGAATTCTTGTTATACCTTTTCTGCTCCATTAAAAAGCCATTGAGCATCAGAAAACTTTTCCTCATGTACATCTTTGTAGACTGTAATCAAGTGATCTCTTGAGCTTCTCTTAGATAACCTAACTAAATTAAGTGAGTTTCTTTTAAGTCTTTCAGAAGGAGTGTTTTTCAGATGTTTGTTGGATTCCTTTCCAGTCTAACTTAAATATTTTTATAAAGATTGTGTATCCATTGCACTGGGCATGGTACAAAACCAGTAAAAGACCATTCCTACCCTAAAGGTCTGATACACAATTTAGAGAAAAGATGTAACAGGTATATTTTGCATAAAATGGAAAGGAAGAATAAATTAAGAAAGCATTAAACTCTCATCAGCACTTCATCCATTTATCATCTGCCACTTCACTTGTCATACCTATATAAAATCATCATCCAAGTACAGCCAAAAAATGGTACTGAGGGCACGTTTTGCTTGCAGCAATAATGATTTTCTATAAAGATTACAGTTCAAATGATACAGATGAAAATTAAATAAAATAATTAGAGTCTACAAATAGCCGTACAAATAGAAATATTTTTGGTAAATATATGGAGGAGATGCACACTGTTCGTAAGTTTTTTTCAATCTTATTATAGGCACAAACAACCAAGAACCAGAAGGTTAGAGGGTTGAATTTTTAGTATGCTGCCTCTTTTGGGTAGAAAACGCAAAGCTTGTTTCAGAAAAAGTAAAAGTCAGCTATATATTTAAAAAATAAATAAATAAATATTCTAGATCAGCAAAATTAAAATATGTTCAAGTTTATTTGGCATTAATCATGCTATTTGGGTTTTGTTTTGTGTTTTTTTTTGCATTTCTCTTAACTTAAACAATGAAAGTATATTAAGCTGTTTCTTTTTGGCTTCCAGTCAGCCTCATTTTCAGATCCTAGTATTCCATCGCTCAGTGTTCATATTACAAGCATTGCTGAAGGCTGTCTTTGGTTTAAACAAATAAACTACAAGAAAAGTATCTGTGCCCACTGGACATTTACAAAAAAAGAAGTTACCCTCCTAAATTTTGTACCTTAGGTTCAGATTCAAAATTTGATCTGTGTCCCCGCAGTCCCCTTTTACTGTCTCTTTTCTCGTATTTGCAAGGGGAGGAGTTGAAATAATAATAAACAAGGGTAATAAATTAAGCTAAAAAGATGCAGGAGGCAAAAAAGGAAGAGCCTCCCTTATTTTCCGGAACATTAAATAATAAAATGGCAAGGTTCTTTGGGTAGATGTGATCTCTTTTATTAGACCTCCTGTCACACTTTTAGCTTCATTCATTCCTTGGCGGTCTCAGAAGAACAGAGACTCCCTATGCCTGAAGAAGGGTGCTTGTGCCTGAAAGCTTGCAAAGAACATCTTTCCACCTACTCAGTTGGTCTAATAAAAGATATCACATCTACCCAAAGCACCTTACCTGCCTATGTCCTTAGACCAGCACAGCTACAACCAAAAACCCTGCAAATAATAAAATAACATTTTTATCACTGTGTTGTTCATAGTTTCATAGATGTTAGGAGCTGGAAGGGACCTTGCTCCTGATTATTAATATAAAGGGAGGTCCCTTCCAGCCCCTAACATAGTTTTATAGAGGTTAGGATTAATATTAATCAGGAGCATCTGGTCCAGTTCATAGTTGCTCTGCTCCTGATTATTAATATAAAGGGATAACGGTACTCAAAGTGAATGGAAAATTATTGCAAGGGGGGGGGCGGGGGAGGAGGAAGTTCCTAAAACTGAGCCAATCGCTTTTTTTGATCAGATCGCTGCCTTTCACAGGATGGCAACAGCACTAAGAGCAGCACAGCACCCCCTCCAGTACAGAGCGTGTGGCTTCCAGCAGCACATACTATAACACTGTGCAGCAGCAGCAATAGGCGCTGCTTTCCGGAGGAAAAATGATTCCCACGTGTGCTGGCAGGATGACGTTGAATTTCCGCGAAAATCCAGCATGGTGCGGGCTGCAGCTGGACTGGAGACATCGCTGCAGGGAGTGATTTACACACTGGGAGGGGGGAGGATCTTCCCCACAACCTTTCCAGACACTGGTGTCATCTTTGTAAGGTGTTGGCATACAAAGATATATATTCTGACAGCGTTTGATTGAATCATTTATGCTCTGAACCAGCCAAAAGAAGGGTGTGTGTGTGCGAGAAGGGGGTTTCTTTTTTTTTTTTTAGGGGGGGGATGGGGGACTTGCTATTTAACATATGGCACTCGATAATCTCCAAACTGAGACTGTTAAAACATCTGCTGTCTCAAAATGTGATGTATTAAGAAAGTAATAATAATAATAACAGCCTAAAAACGGATTGCCCATGGGCATAAAGACCACATTACGAACCAAGTGGCTGGTGCAGCTTTGGTCTGAAACTGAGCAAGAAACTCCCAAAGCAGTGGAGGGAAATTACCTTTTTTTTTTCTCCACAGCACAGAAGTGCGTCTCCGGGTGTAGGCATAGCTGCAAGCCCCGTGGCCACCCAGAGTCAAAGCAAAACCCTCATCTCGACCCGACGGAGGAAAATGAGAACCACACGTTAGCGGCTCAGACATGAACCCGAAAGCAGGAGCTTGGACTTGGTGGCTTGCAAGGAAAGGTTGGGCAGTCCCTGCCCTGGCATGAAGTCGGGTAACTCTTTGCTCCCTGGGCGGAGAGGAGCATTTTTGCAACAACAAAAAAATTAAAAAACAAAAACAAAAAAACCTAAATATAATACTTTGAATGAGAGGCACCGAAGTAAGAAAGCTTTTAAAATAAGATTTCTCCCCCCAGTGATCTCGCTTTGATCCTGAAACTGGAGGGCAATATCCATGGGGAGGGGACAGGAGGGGGATGTCACCTCGTTTCTTGTCCTGGTGTGTGAAGGACACCCCCAGATGTGTGCTCGTTTCTTTTCCAGATGTGTGCTGTGTGCCCACGGGACCCCTCCTGCCTCTTCCCGCTGAAAAGCCAGCACCTTTGCAAAGTCACTGGTCTTTCCCCCTTTGTCCTGATCAGTGTCACATCTGTACAAGGACATCCATCTCCCCCCTCCCCAGTGAAAATCAAATTCTAGCACAAGCCCTGGCTTGTTCGGGCTCCCAAGCTGGAGCAGGGCGTTTATGAATTCACTCCGATGAGTTTGGAGAAGGCAAACGTGCCATTGACACAACGCGCTCCCTGTTTACAGGAGCAGGCGGGCAATAGGGAAGGGGGAATGAATGGGGGGAGTTTAAAGAGCCTTTCATTGAGTAGCATGCCGCTTTTTAATAGCTCCGAGTTCATAGACCTCAGTGTATGTGCAGGGGTGGGGAAAGCTCCCTCCCTTTTCCCTTTCTCCAGGGGCAGAATACAATGCGGGCTTTGCACAACACAGCTATGTCCACCGCTTCCTACCGGGGACTTTTGATTGACAACCGCCCAGCTGATGCCATTATAAGGAGGCAGGAGGGGGGGAAATGTAAGTGCCACTGGGATTTGTCGGGTGCCTGCATCCGAGGTCTCCTGGTTGCGCACCCGGCCGCAGCCCCCTGCTCCTTTGGGGAGGAGCTGGCAAAGAAAATGAGGAGGGTCTCCCAGGAGGAGGGCTCTGCCGGCCCAGCAAGAATCAGCTGCACTGTGGGTTGGAGTCCAGAGGCGGGTGGGTGTTTCTTAATAAAAGAAACACAGGCATCATCGACTCAACATCTGGCTAGTCTGGGGCAGCCCCCCAGCACTGTGTGCTTCTATACTATAATAATATTGATATTGATAATAATGATAATAATGGTGATAATAATAACAGCTCTCCTTATGACTTTATTCCTAAACCATCTGGCGCAACCCTGTGTGCCTCTATTGCTATAATAATATTGATATTAATAATGATAATGACGATGATAATAATGATGATGATAATACTACTAATAACTCTCTTTATGACTTGATTCCTAATCCATCTGGGGCAGCCTTCCCCGCCCACAGCCCTGTGTGCCTCTCTTGCAATAATAATATTGACGATGATAATGATAATGATGATAGTAGTAGTAGCAGTATTAATAATAGCTCTCTTTATGACTTGATTCCTAACCCGTCTGGGGCATCCCCCCAGCCCTGTGTGCCTCTATGCAAGAATATTGATAGTAATAATGACAATGACGACAATGATGATGATGATCATCATCATCTTTATGATCTCTTTATGACCAGCCCCCCAGTCCCGTGCGTCTCGATTGCAATAATCATATTGCTATTTATAGTGATAATGACGACGATTATAATAATTATGATGATATTATTACTATTATTATTATAGCTGTCTTTATGACTTGATTCCTAATCTATCACAGCAGCTCCAGCCTCAGGGCAGGCTGTTTCGGTTTGCCCAGCAGCGTGGCGGGGCTGGCTGCGGGCTCACGCCGCAGTCGCTAATTGCATGGATTTATTGAGTTGCGGGAGATGAAATCCCAACCCCCCCCCGACAGGTGAGGTCAGTAGCGGGTGGGTGGGTGGGTTCCCCCCCTTGCTGAGTTTCTTTGATGTAGGGAGGGACAGCTTCTTCCTTAAAATATAATCTGCCCGGTAACAATCAGCGCGCAGCAGCGAGAGCCCCAGAGCTATTGGCTATGCAAATAGAGGGAGGGGAAGCGGCTCCCCAAACTCTCAACTCACACTTTTAAAGTGATATTTCGCTCCTTCCACCCCACCTCCATCTTCCTCGCGGGGAGGAGGAAGGGATCGCGAGAAGCCGGGCTCATCCCAGGCATCCTGTATCCCCTGCCTGCCCACCTCTTTCCTTCTCCTGCAGCCCGATCTGCATTTTCCCATAGGACCCTATGGGGTCCAGCTGCTGCAAGGGACCGAGCAAACCCCACGCACCCTCCCCACCGCTGCCTGGCCCCAGAGGGAGAGGGGCGGGGGGGCGCTGTGCGTCTCTGTCCTTAGGAGAAAAGTTACACATCCCTGGGCAACTGGGGACAATGTAAGACACGCCAAAAGAAGCCAGAGCATGAGTGACTATGAAAGCAAATGAATCAGAGCCGGGAAAGCCCAGGGCTTGGCCCGTGCAGCGGGGCAGCGGCCTGGCCAGCAGCGAGAACAGCTGTGCTGCATGCAGCGCGCAGCAGCGAAGAGTGGAAGTCGGGACCAGTCCTCCCCCTTCTCCTCCGCCTGCCCCCCCTCCGTGTTTCCTAGAAAGTTATATCAGCGTGTGAGCATGCACTGGTAGAGCAGCTCTGGGCGGCACACGCACACACACACACACACACACACACACACACACACACAGAGTCGAGGAAGCTGCATTGTGGCCACTGCTAGCTCCCTCCAGACATCAGCGTTGCAAAGTATATACAGCCACCAGCACAGCCTCGGGACTCTGCTTTTGTCACCTTCTGGTTTGCCTTTCACTGGCGAGCAAAGTGTGGCTGTTGTCTCCCGGTTGCAGATGAGAAGACTCATTTGGGGCGGGGGGAGGAGAGGGGAGCTGGAGAACTGACCCTGTGAGCACCAGGTCCTCTGCGAGAGCTGCACCGAGTAAGGACATTTCCTATTTCACGACTTCCCTTCCCCGCAAAATGAAAGCCCCGGGTGTTTAGGAAGCCGATTTCCTCTGGCGAGAAATGACTAGAGACCCCGTTTGGCTACTGCGGAGGGGAAGGTTGGAGGGAGGAAGGGGGAAGCTGCTAGTGAGAGGGGGAGAGAGAGTGTGTGTGTGACACACAGTGTGTGTGTCTGTGAGTGTGAGGCATTGTGTATATGAGTGGGTGAGGCAGTGTGTGTGTATAAGCGTGAGATGTGTGTGTGAGTGTGAGGCATGGTGTGTATGAGCATGAGTGGGAGGCTGTGTGCATGAGTGGGTGGCAGTGTGCGTGACCGTGTGTGACATTGTGTGTATGAGTGAGACTGTGTGTGTGACACTGTCAGAGGCTGTGTGTGAGAGACACACATTGTGTGTGTGTGTGTGAGAGAGAGAGAGAGAGAAAGAGGGGCTGTGCGTGTCCTCTCTCCGCCGGGGCCTCCCGGCCCTTCGCTACCCCGGAGAGGACAGAGCGCGGCGAAGAAGGCGCCGCCTGTTACGTCTGCCCGGCCGCCGCGCTCCAGCCCCGCGAGCGCCAGCGCTGCCTGCCCCGCCGCCTTGCGTCACTTCGCTTCAACTTTAGGCTAGAAATCAAGGAGAGCGAGAGAGGAAGAGGGGGGAGAGAGAGAAGTTTCAAGGGAAGCAGGATTGAGCTGCCTTCCTCCCACCCACCCACCTACCCTCCTCCTCTACCCCTCTCCTTCCCCAACC